AAAATGAAGGTATATGTCGTGGTGATGAATATTGCAACAGTTAGAGCTGCTTGCTATTCCATGTGTACATACCATTCTGCTGGGAGCAAAGCAACACACCATATTTGAAATCTGTAACACAAAATAATTGTAAATAACTGGTAAGATTCTCAGTCATCCAGAACTTAGTAAATCCAAACAACTTTAAAAACAAAACTTGTGGACTTCTGGTCTGTTTCTGAAAAACAAAGCTTCCCATCTGGAAGGTTTTAGCAACTGAAAACAAATATAAATATATGCTATATTTTTTTTATTTATTGATAAAGCAGTTTTAAGTAGGACACCTAAATACCTTTAGAGACGTACCGTTGTTCAACCATTTTTAAATTGTGAGGCAAAGCTGTAAATACATAAATCAGCGTAAACATTTCCTAAGAGATAAAAGAATGTACATGTTAAATTCACTGATCTGATACAAAAATTCAAGTAACTTTATTTGATCGTTACTTGATCAAAGTTCAGTTTAACAATGTATGCTCAATTCAAGCAAATAGTTTGAAATGCACTTTTTTTCCACCTCAATACATTAAAACTGATATTTTAATTTAACTAATTCTAAGTGATGTGATTTTGTTTCATTGTGTATAAAGTATCAATGTGAACAGCAACAGTGTAATTGTTGCAATTCACTGTTTCACAACTGGTTGATTGTAAAACAAGAATTCACAGCCACTCTAGTGGAGCCAGTTCGTATTCCTCCCAGCATTTAGACTCGGGCGACCTTGTTCAAGCTGTTTAATGTCACCAGTTGGATTAAACGGACCATCCAGACTGTTATAATGTGGTTGGCAAAGATTTTTACCATACATCATTAAAAACTGCTCTGCCCAAATATCACCAATATGTTCACTTTTAAACCACAACGCAACAGATAAGTGATTTTTTTTTTTTTAAATAGGGTTATAAAGAAGCCTCTTACTCAAAAATTTCAATGTTATTTATTGCCCACTGCTTTAAACAAGAGTGGTCATGTAAATGCATGTTTGAGTGTGTGTCTGACAAACGTGTTTGTACAACCACAAAATATCACGTGAACCACTAGATGCATTTTAACGAGTCTCTTAGAAAGTAATTAATGAATTGGCATTTAGGATTATGATGATTAAGAAATGGGGCAAGCCCAAACATATGCACTCCTTCGGGAAATGCCTTTTTTATTGTTATGCTTTCCCCAACGCGCAGTACAAATTAGAATGACTATTCTTGGGAAGATAACGAACTGACTTCAATTCAGTTCATTCTTATTACTAAACCTAACTTTAACCCTACCATCTCAATAACAGGCGAAAGGTGGCGATTTCATAGCCTATTCTGATGGACATTTTTTTTTCCTCCTTGGGAGTCAGTCGACATGCTGGCACATGATAATCACATGACCGATTTCAGTCACTCTAGCAAGCATGCAAAACACCACACGCTATCAAAGAGTTGTTCCTCAGGGATGTGTACTCAGTCCTTTCGTTTTTAATCTACTGAAACATAATGTAATATCAAATTAATCACAAATCAGCTTATTTAGCTTCACAGTGATAAAACAGTTGGACTCATCAGTAATGAAGATTCAAGAACAGACAAGTTGGTGAATTTGGAGAAATAAACACATCTATACATTACAGAAAACAAACGCTAAAAAGCCGATAGTGAACTTTAACAAAGGCTGAACATTCCCAGCTGTACAATCAGTAATTGGTTCACCTGTGGAAAGAGTCAGCATTACTGAAGATCTCTCCTGGACTGTGACAAGCCATGGATGAGCAAGCAAGCTCAGCACAGTCTGCACTTCCTCAGGAGACTAAAAAAAGTGCTCTCTTCCAGCCTCTCCACATTTTACTGTGAAACTACAAACAACTTCACATTCTCCATCACATCTTGGCACGGCAGCTGCAGTATATAACCCACAGACTCTGAGTGTGGCGAGAAGGGCTGAGAGAGAGGGAGAGACAACAGTGTCCCACTTTCCTCACTGGAGACCATTTTCAAAGAGAAATGTAAGAAAAAAGCCCTCGTTATTGTAAAAAATTATTCTAATTCTTCCCGTGTGGGGTTTATTCTCCTCACATCTGAATGCAGATATTGTTCCACTGAAAAAATTACCAGAACATTCAACAATAAAAATAAAATGACAAAAGTAATTAACCTTGGAGGTTTCAAACGCTCACCTTTTGTGATGTGAACTTGACTTGAATGATGATGGTGTTTGTTGGAGGCTGTGGGATTTTTTTTTTGTCAAGAAGACTGTACAGTAAACTTGGTAATTAAACGTTTTTCAAAGGTCATTTGTGATAATTGTGAAAATTACAGCAAAAAGTAAATGCACAAGATTAGAATGGTTATTGTCAAGCTAGTTGACCAGGAAATGTGCATAAGGATATAATTATTAAAAAAATCAAACACTTCTTTTAATTGTAAACCATTCAAGTATAAGAAAATTTTACTCTGGAGAATAAAATCTGATCTGGAGAATTAAATCTGCCTAATAATTATGTCCACGGTGTTTCATGTTGGCGTTGTAAACCTGCCATATGTGGGGAAATCATATTTTGAAGGTAATTATGCAGCTGTTCTATGAAAATGATAATTATCTTGCTCTTGTTGTCAGACTGTTACAGTATAGTTAAAGGTCCTTTATGATCATTAAAAACAAGTTCTAGTAAGTTCAGTAATTAGTGGTGCCCACATTGAAAATGAGCAGCGTGCACATTTTTATTAATGAAACAGAAACAGATCAAGTGTGTAGAGGATTTTCTTTGTTTTGTTTTTATTCTGTGGTTTAGTTGACTACATTTCTGTTCAGGAGACAAACATCCACATCATTTTTCACACCTGACATGATGTTTGATGCCATCGAGTGTCTCTTAACATGCAGGCTTGTACTTCCAGCTCCCGCCTGACCTTTTCCACACGCTGCATACAAAGTCACATCACCTCCGCTTGAATAATGTATTTTCTCATCCCGATCGCTCACTGCGGCTTTAGCCCCGATTTTGGTGGATTTTAAATTGGGTTTTAATCAACACATTCACAGATTCCATGCCCCCCTATGACATCTTGGGAAATGAAATTCAAACTCATTGACTCGAAGAGCGGGCAGCAACAGGATGGGCCAAATTTCTCTGTTCGACAACCATCTCCTCTGGGGGAGGTGCTAATCCTCATCTGGAAAGAATCTCTCTTACACCAGCTGCAAACTCTTTCAGTGCAAATGGAGTTCCTTTTTCATCATGTCAAACAAAGGACACGCTGAGAATGGCAGCGGTGCCACTCTGAATTTAAAAATGACAATATTGACATTTTAAATTGTAGAGCAGCAACATAACAAGCAATCAATTCCATACTGTGATCTTTTATATAGGAATTTATTCTAAAACCACTGAAGCCTGGCCGTATAATAGTGTGAATGTTTGACTCATTCACACTATTGTGATCCATTTTTCTTCTGTATGTTTTTCGGCGCGTTTCTCGTCCCGCAGTTTTCAATTATTTCAACAAATCATGAATCAAAACGTTCGGCTCTTTCAGGGCAGTCCTGCTATGACTTTTGGTGCAACTTTAGCTTTTTGAAAAATTTAGCCTTTTCTGCCATTTTGTTCTCATAGAAAATGAATTGAGCTCATTTTACATCCTTTAAATCTTTAGATCTGTTTACAACCTTTTACTGCTCATTTCACATTTTGTTCTACTTCAGCTTCTTTCAGCTTCTTTCAGATTCCTGCTGCAAATTTAAACTTTTTTAGCTAATTTCTGTTGGGGTTTTTCAGCTGTTTTGTGCTCTTTTCAGTATAATTATGTGCTTATTCTAACTTCTTTCTGCTCATTTAAGCTTTTACACTCTTTTCAGCTTATTTCTGCAACTTTCAGCATTTTCTACTATTCCAGCTACTATACGGCTGTTTTATGGTAATTCAAGCCTTTTCAGCTAATTCCACATTTTTTGCACTCATTTAAACTTATTTCAGCATAATTCAGTAAAAATGTGCTCTCTCAGCTTTCTTCTTGTAATTTCAGCTTGTTTCTCTTTTTTAGCTACTTTTCAGATGTTTCTTTTGCTAATTTCATCTTTAATTCAGATAATTTCCACTTATTGTGTTCATCTCTGCTTCTTTCAGCAGCTATGTTCTTTCTGCTTTCTTCTGCCTGTTTTGTTAATTTAAGCTTGTTCTACCTTTTCAGCTACTCTTTTTAGCATTTTTAGCTAATTTCAGCTGTTTACAGATAAATTCAAGTTTTTTGTTGTAATCTCTGCTACTTTTTATGCTGATTTCTGCTTGATATGTTCCATTCAGGTTTTACAGATAGTTTCAGCTTTTTCAGCTATTTTAGCTACTACTTAGCTGTTTTTGTGATAAATTTAGCTTTTTCAGCTAATTCAACTTTTTTTAAGCTCATTTCAGCTTCTTCCACTTCCTTTTGGTAGTTTAGTGTATCTGACTTTTCAGTTACTTTCCAGCAATTGTTTTGCTAAATTCAGCCTTTTTTTAGCTAATTTCCTAATTTTTCTTCTCATTTCTGCTTATTTAAACCTAATTCAGCAAATATGTGTTCTTTCTGCTTTCTTCTGCTAAGTTGAGCTTGTTCTACCATTTCAGCTACATTTCAGCATGTTTTCAGCAATACGCATCCACACATGATTGGCTCTGAGCTAACTCGTGTTTTTACTGACTTGTGCAAAGCCCACTCATCTAAAAACATTTATCTGTTCTCACAGCGTCACATTTCAACCTCTCCCACCCCTGGGAGTTCTTTGTGTTGCAGAGCTGTTGTTTCTTCGTATGCTTGCATGTGCAATGAATCACTTAAACTGTTTGTCTTCAGGTTGTAAAGGCCTCTTTTGTGTAGCCTCAAATGTTTTGATGTAATGTTCTGTGCCAGTGGTCCCCAAGGAATCCACGGGCTCCCAGATCCACTCTCGAAGAGATCACGTGCCAGAAACTTAACGTTTTGGTCAAAGGGCTCGAATGATTTTATGCCTGTATGGGTTAAGATTCATTGAGGATGAGGCTTTAAATAAACTGTCCCAGATGCTTTATCAATAGAGCTGTTGTCCACGTATGCACCTCACAGTCTACCTTCTTATGCTTGAGGGCACCAACATCCTTGTTGGCACCGTGGGTATTCTGCTGCACACTTGACATGCACTCCCATGTGAGACTGCTAGTGTCACACTTTGGCCTGAGGGCTGCAGCAGTTCGGAGCAGCAGGGGAGTCAAACTCTGTGCCTCCTCTCCCTGTGGAATAGAAGCACATGTGCACTGTGAACATGAACTGACTGGGTTTGTCACAAACCGCCCCGCATCCCTCCTCTCTCCTCCCGCTCTGCAGCAGCTTCCCTGCTTAAGCTTCCCTGTCATCACAAAAGCTGCAGCTTCAAATGCGTGTGAAACAAACATTAAAAGGAAAAACAACTGGAGGAAAGGAGAAAAGTATCTTGTTTTCATGAAGCAAAAAATACCTACACTTTGACTCGTTTGAGTAGATCTTTGAACAACTTCCTAATGCAATATTTAGGACAAAATGTGGTATAAACTGGAAATATCAGCTTTAAATAAAGATGCTTCTTTCTCTGGCAAAACATGAAGATGTTTGGGATGAAGTTCACAGCTGGTAAATTCACACTTTTTTATTTATTTATTTATTT